TTTGTCATCAATTACAGGAAGAAGAATTGTGTTCTTGACTTTAAGAGTGTTTCAAAGGGTTTGACAACATAAAAGGGTGTTCTTGCTGCATGTCTTGTTGTTGTATTGCATATATTTAGATTAGTCGGTTAGAGAGGTGTTTTACATTTTCACGTAAGGTTGCTTTAAAAACCTATATCTTTATAGTGCATTGTGTAAAACTCGATTAAAATAATTTTTTTTTTTATTTTTATTTTAATATTTCCAAAAGTAAATATTTAATTATGGTATGTTAGTGGATGATGAAATTGTGGTGGATTGAATGGAATTGAATTGAATTTAGGTTTATTATTAAATTTACGAAATCTGTTAAAGAAGGTTTATATATTAACGTTTGTAGTATTATAGCAATTAAAGTGATTTGGTTCAGTGGTTGGGATGGTTGACCTTGGGAAGGCACTACTGCACGCTCGTCTTCGATTTCCACGGCTCGGAGAAGATTTATAATATTTTGTTTTACTTGTGTTGGTAAGGTGCGGCCGCAGGTGGGTGAGAGAGGTTGGCCCAAGGAATTACTAATAAGGTTTGAGAATTTCATTCGCTTTTTTTAGCATGCAACGTAATGACAGGGTATGTATGGTGGGCCCCAGAGTTGATTGGTTAGCCAATAAAATTTGTTTGGGGGGAGAGAATTAGGCGCTCACGGCCAGCCTGCGGCCAGTCAAAACAAACGAGAATTCAACTTTGAAAAATATGTTTTTAATGTGTTTCATGTGAGACTTGCGAGCTAAGCTTGAATTACATCTTCAACACATTTATTTTTGTCATTCTCTAGACCTTAGTAGATCAACTATAGAGTCCTCTCTTCACCTATAAAAGAGAGGCTCATCTCTATGTAAATTTCAACTTTGAAGAGATAATGAAATGTTGTTGAGTTAGCTCCATACTTATCGTTAGAGTTCAAATCTTTTTTAGTGCTAATTTCGCACTACTTTCTCTAACTTCTTTCCCCTTTAGAAGGCCTTCTGAGCTTTGGAAACGTCATGCACTCACCAAACCTACACTGAACCATTTCACAAACACTTGGCGTGCACCTTCATCTTCCTTCATCAATTCATTCCGCTGCATCTATTCTGATTTGTGGAGAACTCTCACTTGAAGTGTGAAGCTGCTTCCATAAAAAATTCTCAATCTTATTGGTCAAATGCCTACCTGGGACCCACTAAACTCTACAACAGCTAAACAAATCCAAGAGAGAGACTTCATCCCTTCTGCCACACATGAGGGCAACACAACCCATTCCTTTCTCATGCATGTTGCATTACTTCTGTAACACCCCAAAAATATAGCACATAACTAAATACAGGTGTCATCATTTAATAATATGATAGAACAATTACTGCATTAATAAAGTTAAACTTACAATTATTACAAAATAACCATAAAATTTTAAACTTTACAAGAGTTTCCTACACTACTATCAAACTAAACACATATAATCGAACGATTATATTTACAAAACAAAATAGTGACCAAACGATTCACCAAAAGTATTTACACTAATATGACCGAACGGTCATCACCTATTCAGCAGGAGTCTCACCGTCCAGCTCTTGCTCCAACGTAAACTCTTCACCTTCTGCTCACATCCAACAAGGATGATCATTGCAATAGAAAACCGAACGGCAACAAGGATAAAAACAGGAAATAAGGGTAAGCTACTAAAATTTAATTGGGTATACACACATACAATTAGTATAAGCATAAACAATACAAAATTGAACACTATAACATACCAAAACCAATGATTATAGACATATACAAATTTAGCCCCATATTACATGCATAAACCGAACACCTGACTTGACCATCCGGATTGTATAAATATGTAGCTTGAGGCTGTTCGTGTATCCAAGTGGTGTAGTAACTGGAAAACCATCAGCTGCCACCCGAGATTAGTCCGTTATAACTCACCCAAGAACCTATGGGTTAGGACCTCCTGTCATTCTCACACAATGAATTACCCATCTCTACTTGAGAACTGATAATCATCATAATATCAGGATGAACACCGTGAATTTCACTGTCCGTATTCATACTTTACGCTAAGACATTCCTCCTTGTAATTCTCTTCCATGTTACATGAAATATCAACCTTACTTGAACACCAATATAAGTTATCATACATAATATATCAATACTATAATAAACAACCAGAATCAAAACTTGAAATAAACCTTGTAAGATCAACTAAAATTCCATAGAAGAAAATCGAACGTTAAACATTACAACCCCTGACAACAATATAACGGAAAAGATCAATACAACCTACAAATATGACCGAACGATCATTTAACAAGTAAGGCTCAAGAATGAGCCGAACACCTTTAAGGGTAGAATAATATAATTAAGCCTAATACTTCCAAAACTGAATGCTCACCTAAATTCGAATACTTTGATAGGATCAAACACTTAAAGTAAAACCGAACGATATTCTACTATCCTCAAAACAAGACTGAACGATATTTTACTAACAACCAAACAAGACCGAACGGGATTTATCTATTCTTAACACGAGACCGAACGGTACAACCTAAGACAAATACTTACAACTTAATCTGAACACTTATGATTACTCTTACAAACTATTCATCAAACCTAATACTTTTAAGAGAACCGAACGTTAAGACATTATAGCTGAATTATACAGAAACTTGCATCCGATTATAAACGAATGAAAAAGGTTTTCCTCATAAGAGCATTAGATAAAGAGATGAATGACTAAATTAAAAACATTATAAATTATAAAAAAAAGGGGAAAATAAAAAGTTATTTTAGGAAATTTCAAATTGGTAAATATTAGTAGAGTTTCTTGAAAACCCCTTGACACTTAGAGCTTTCCAAAAGCTCCATTATGTATGTTTTTCAGTAAGGTTATTATAAACTTCGTAATGAATCTATTTAAAATCAAATATTTTTAGTGTAAAAATAAAATACACAAACACTTGAGATACTTTTAGACTTCAATATTTTTATTTTTTTATAAAATTTAAAAAATACTTTTAACCTTATTAATATTTTTTCATTAATAGTTACAAAAAAAAATATTATAGCGTAATATTGTGAAATATTTTATATAATTATTTCAATTTTATTTATTTGTTATTTGATATTCTTATTTTAAAATTATGTAATTATAGTTTTTTATTCTAAATTTTTGATACTGAAAAATGAGAATAATTTTCTTATATTAAATATTTTACAATAGTATGTTTTTTACTAAGATTTTATTTATTTTTTCATAAAAAATAATAAATTAATATTAAAATAATAAAAAAGTATGTATGGTTATAGAATAGATGGTTATTGTTATCATATAATCAATCGCATCCCCATCCTTCCCATTATATTTCCTAATACACAGACTTTACATGAGTTCACACTCCAATAAAATGATGACTTAATAACATGAATTAAGAAAATGTAAATATTTAAGAAATGATAACATTATGACCTTAATGACTTATTATTAAATTTAAAAATGATTTCATTAATTAATTAATACGAAAAAATAATTAATGCTTTTTAAAATTAACGTGTATATGATTTTCGATTAATACATCAAAATGTGATGGTTGTGATAAATGAATATAAAATTAGTTAAGAGAAGTTTTGTTTTTGTTGAATTTAGTCTATTTAATTTTCAAACGAATTGCAACGGTGAACGAACATCTATTATTTATTGTTAATGTCTGACTCATATGACCTATATAAGTAACGAATTTCATACACAAATATGCATAGTATTGTAAAAAATTCAAAAAAGAAAAAGAAAAATTAGATTGTTTTGTTTTCTTTCAGTAATTTTTTCCATAAGAAAGAGTAAGATTGTAATGTTTCCACCATTAGTATAACTATTCTTTTTGTATTTGTTATATATTCTTATTCTGCTACCACAAATTTATAGGCTTGAATCAAGTAAGGTACAAATTAAATCATGATTTAATAAATTTAAATAAAATTAAATAACATTTGAAAATCAAAAGGAAAAAAATAAGTGATCATGATAATGCTTTAATAATAAATCTACAAATTAATTAATTAGTTATTGCTAAGAAATAGTTAATAATTTTTAAAAATTAAATAATAAAAACTCAAATTAATTATGTGATGTTCTATTAATTGATTAAAGTATAAATCAATGAATATAAAATAAAAATCATTTTAACAAAAATTAAATATCTAAGACAAAATAGATAAGTTTTCATATTACCTAAGAAATAAAGAGATTACATACACGAATCAACACTTTGAAATTGAAAGTAAAACATTTTTATGTTTAAGAAAATAATAAATATAAATACTAAAATGGAGTAGAAATTATTAGTGTGAAACCTAAAGTATATTTTATTCACTAACATTGATAATACTTCATTTAAATATAATCGAACAAAAGGAAAAAATGTTTAACTAAGGTTATGGGTAATAAAGAAAGTATAATAGAGATACAAGTGAATTTTGTGAATATAAAATAAGTTAAACACTTAGATGAAAATATATATATATATATATATATATATATATATATACATAAAAAAAATTGAACCCAACAAAAGTGAACTTTCTGGTATGGTTTGGATCACTTTGAAAATATTCTTATATAAATTTCTTTTATGAATATGTATAATATTTATCTATTGTATATTGTTAATGGAACTAAGTCTAATATATATTTAATAAATTTCGTACACAAATATAGAAAATTCAAAATACAAATATAGAAAATTCAAAACACAGATACCAAAATTAGCTCTTTTGTTTTATTAGTAAAGTTTTTTTTTTCCATCAAAACTAAGAATGTAAAGTACACACCACGGGTATAACTCTTCTTTTTGTGTAATTTATATGTCATGGTATTCTATTAATTGATCAAAATAGATAAATAAATATAAAAGTGGCTAACGAGTTTTCTTTTGTTGAATTGAGTTCCTTTGGTTTGCTATTATTTTGAATCTACTCTAATGGCAAATGATGAGATGCTTGTATTCAAGGATGTGATGATTCTGGCATTAAGACAAATGAACAAGACCTTTTATTCTAATAAAGAAGTATTCCTTCGTGAACTTATCAATAATGCTTCGAATGTAAGTAATCCTTTGATTTGGTTTTTATTTGTACATTTATTTTATATCAGTCTTATCGATCATTGCATGTATACACAGGCTTTAGATCAAGTTCAATTTGAGGGAAATACACATAAAATCATTTCAGATGATCGGTTGATAAGATTGGTTCCCCACAAGGCTAACAAAACACTTTCCATCATCGACTTTGGTATTGGGTTGACAAAGGAAGGTAGGATGGTGCCTATTTTTCATATTCATTTGCAATTTTATTGCATACTTATTAATTGTAAAATTTGTATGTGTTTATTTTAGATTTGGCATATAATTTGGGAGTTGGCTTCTACTCTGCTTATTTGGTTGCCTACAAGGTTATTGTCACTTCTAAGCACAATGACCATGATCAATATATCTGGGAATCTCAACCAGATGCCTCCTTCATTGTTACCAAGGACATCAATGCCCAACAACCTTCAAGTGGAACAAATATCACCCTCTTCCTCTATGATAACCAGGTTCACAAATTATCTCATTCACGTTTTTGTTATTATTTTTTTTGTTTACTCATTTTATTTAACAGTTGGAGTACTTGGAAGAGACCACCATAAGGAATCTCATTATTAAAAATTGCCAACACATTTCCCACCAAATTTACCTATCGAATGAGAACAACAAAGATGATTGGCAACTTATTAACATTTGGTTCCAAAACCAAGAGAGAGACAATAATTTTTTAGCTCAAAGGCATATGAATCACGTACTTGATGATCTTGTACCCTCTATTCTTTCTAAACTACCTTTGAAATCTTTGAAGAGATTTGGATGTGTACGAAGATCATGGACGCTCTTGTTTGAAAATTCTCATTTTATGAACCTCTTTCGTAATAACTTCATACGCAATTATCACTCATACTATGGAGATGAATGTATCTTTTTGAATCTCGCTCAAGTTCATCAGAATCTTTGCAAATCGTCCTTATTTTTATCTTTTGGTGAGAGGTTTCAAAATATGGAAAAATTACCTTGGCCAAGTCAATTTCCAGATATCATTTGGCAATTGTATATTTTAGGTTCTTCAAGTATTCATGGAATTTTTTGCCTACAAGCACAATATAGACGACAACATGCATATTTGTGGAACCCAACTATCAATGAATTCATGGTCATTCCTCCTAGTCCATTTGATTATGTACCAGATTATATTGATGTTGTCATTTTGTATCATGGATTTGGCTATGATTGTGTTAGAAATGACTATAAGGTGATTAGGAAACTATCATTTCCTGCTGTTACCGATGATGATGATGATGATGATGATAAGTTAGCACATGATCGTTTCACCGTGGGATGTGTGTGGGAGATGTATAGCCTAAGAAGTAACTCTTGGACAAACCTTCAATTTGGTGGAGGTATACCTGTGTGTACTGAGGTTAATAATAAATTTTACTTGGAGGGAATGTGTCATTGGTGGGGTTATCAAGACGAATTTATTGAACACTTAGTATCATTTGACTTGATCAATAATGTGTGGATGATGACCCCCCCACCTTTAGACATACCCATGGATGCATATGATAATTTTGAAATGTATTTGGTTAACAGAGAATTATTTCTCTTAAATGGATCAATTGCTTTGATATCAAATTATGCACAAACAACAACCTTTTACGTATCAATTCTGATTGAAGTTGGTAAGAAGGAAACATGGACTAAACTCCTTGTTTTTGGACCCATACCATACATTAGATTTCCTATTGGAATAGGAAATATGAGTAATATACTCTTCCAAACAGATGATGGTGATCTTGCCTGGTTTGATTTAAGTACCCATGTATTGCAAAAGCTTGGTGTCAACGTACAAGGTCGTTTTTCCCAATTAGTTGTTTATAAGGAAAGTCTCATTAGAATTGAAAAAGAATAAATAGTTAATATTTTTTCTTATTTTCATTTCAATAGTTAATCATTGGTTATAATACATTCTGTTGTACTTGTCAATTTCATATTACAAAAAAACATATGATTAATTATGAAGCTTTTGTTTTGATATGATGTGAGAGAATTGTATGATTTCAAAATGTCTATTTTAATCATGTTCAATTACATTTTAATATGTTAATTTCCTTTATTCATGAAATTAGTTAATTATTCACTATATTAATGTATTTAAATAAAAAAGTATAAAATGTTGATAGAGATGTGGAGATTTTAATCTAACAAAATCTAATTTTAACATGTTAAAAGAGACACCCCTATAAATACTTATGATTATTGATGATTCTAATAAATTAAAGCGATTATCTACCTTATTAAAATGTCTTTTACGGTAATTTTTTAACATAAATAATAACATTTTAATATAAAGCATCTTTTAATCAAGAAATTCTATCACCAAGAAATGCTTGTTGCATTCTAAAGAAAGATTTCCAACTATAATGTAAAGAAAAAATCATGACGAGATAAACTTATACAAAAATCATTTTTTATAACTAATTTTTATAATAATTATAATCCACCCAATATAATAAGTGATGCAAGGACGAAATTATAAATAAGATAACACTTTCTACATTGGTTGTAGTTATAATTATCAATAGAGAAAGTGAATGTGATTGCACTTATCTAATAAAGAAAAAAATTCTATATTTTTTCTAGTCATTACTAATATATAGAAAGTAATTTCTTATTCTTTTTGTTTTTACTTGTAAAGATAGAGACAAAAAAAAGGGTTCTCAAATTTCAAATCCCTAACCCTCATTATAGTTTTTCGTCTAATTCTTTTTGCTCTTAGCGTCCCAACCCTTCTATCTTCTCCTCGACCTCCTTCATTTTCGCCTTCACCATTCCCACTCTCTTCTTCGAATTGAACCTCTCTCTTTTTGTGTATCATCGTCATGCCAAGGCCATCACTGATATTTCCACAATACTTCATTCTCTATGTTCTTCAACAAGTGACTCAAATCGCCTTTTTTTTTCATATTTGTGACAGTGCCACCAACTTATGAGTCATCGCCATTCCTCCAAACACAAAGTTGCGCATGGTCGTCGCACAAGAAAATGCCATCATCAAAGCACCAAAGTGAAAACACAGGAAAACACTAGAAGGGGTGTTGAATAGTGTTTTAAAATCTTTTTTTTGCAACGTCTTGTGAATTCATAAGAGATAGGTAGTTGATTAACACTCATTGTAAGACCTGTATAAATAAAATGACCTTTTAATTTAATTATTTTATTTTTGGATATTAAATAATAAATTATTTTGTGAAGGTGTTGAGAAATATTTAAAGAGGTGAATAAAAGTAAATTAGTATTTATTACATTATTAATTGTCAAAAAGAGTTGAATGAGTACTCAAATATAATTGTTTGCATTATAATATCAGTGGATGGAGCTTGATCTAGTGGTTGTTGTGTGTATTGGTTTCTAACATTTATGATGAAAGAGAAAGTGTAAGGGTAGTAATATTATTTTATAGCTTTTGTGCATGTGTTTGGAAAGAGAAAAGTTGAATGCGAGGCTCTTTTATGTTCATGGTCTCTAGAGTAGGTAGCATTGTCATTGTTTGCTTTTATTTATGGAAAATGTTTCTTCAACAACTAATTTTTTCCAACTTTTTGACAATGCCAAGTGGCGGCATTTGATTGGTCCATTTCAAATCATATTTTCATAAATGAAATCGTATGTAGAGGGTGTTTTGCTAACAAATTTTGTTTCGCGGGTTCTGAAATATTATTTCGTAAAAGGGTTCATCTTCTTCTTCTCAACAAATTGAAATCTCTCTCTCTCTCACTGTTGTCTCTTGGTTGTCCGTCGTTCTCACCGACCACCATGACGATAAGGCAAGGCTGGAGTACTCGACGAGAGATATGAGAATTTGCTACTAGGGAATTTATTATGTTTTAAATTTATTTTATATTTTTGAATAATGGATTTCAAGAATTGTAAGGATTTATTTTTATACTGTAAGGCGATTGATCTGTTGAGGTTTTTATTTCGCTATGTTATTTAAATGAAAACATTTGGTGTAAATTTCATAATTTTATTATTGTCAAGTGGGTACTCAGTTAGGGGTGTTACACTAAACTCATTGAAAAGATCTTGTGTTATCGATTATAGGCACGAGAACACAAGAGTGCCTCTAAGGGACAATGTTCCCTGGATGTCAATGATCCTATCAATAACACTATAGCAACCCATAAACCTATAACTTACAAGTTATGACCTTAAAACACAACTAGAATCTATGCCAATTTACTTCTTCTTCTCTATTGCAAATGAAATATAAAGAAACCTAAATGTTATGTGTTAAGAACTCGGTAAGTGTACCGAATCTTATCAAGTAACAATAAATGGTAAGACCAAGTATCATTTCCCAAGAGACTCACGACACTAAACAATTATGTAATTACTTAACTTATTAAGACTTTGAAAAATAATTAAGGGTTTTGTAAATGCAAAAAAAAAGAAAATAAATATGAATGCAATTTTGATCAATTGAAAAGAAACGCAAAAGTGAATGATGATGTTTGAACTATGAGATGAAAATGTTGTTGGTGTTTAGATTTCACCTAATCACTCTCATGTATATAAGAATTCTTCTTCATTAAATGTCAATGTCACTTTCTAAATTACTTAGAACTCGATGTCTCGGCTAAAGAAGTCTATCCTTAATTACTAGACCACAATGTCTTGCTTCCCTAATAATTAATTTTGCATTACGAACGAAAGCTTAAGACAACCAAGTGTTCTATCCCTATGTCTAGGAAATAGTTCCCTTGGGAGAAATTCCCCAGTTCTAGGTTTCTAGGTATTTGTCAATAACAAAGAAAACCCAAAATCATGCCATGAATGAGTTAAACATAACAAGCATAGAGCAAAGGAGAATAACCCTAACAATTAATGAAAGAAGCATATATAATTTGGAATTAATTCAAATACATGATAGTTTAGAGGTTACATCTTCCCCAACAACAAATTGAATTTAGTTCCTCCTTGTCATGGAGAAACTAGATGTACAATGGAATGAGAATGAAAGATAACCCTAAAAACCAAAGAGGAGAGCTTCTGCATCCACTTCTGCCTCTAGAGACTTGGAAAAGTCTGAATTTGCGTCACTTATGTCAAAAGATACCCCCTCTAGGACGTGCAAGACTTTACATACAGCTGAATTGGATCATGGGCCAATGTTGCCAACGCTCAATGCCTCTACTCAAGGCGCTCAAGTCAGCTTGTGAGAGAAATGGGGCTCAGTGCCCTAAGAAGGGCGCCAAGGCATGAAACGATACTTGAAGATTGACGCTCAGTGTCCCTGAAAGGGAGCTCAGACGTGGGTGTGGACCGTCAGTGCTAAGGGTTCAAACATGGGCGCCCAAGCATGGTTGCGAGACAACCAGTGCCCACGGCCCTAGAAAAGGGCGCCCACAGACCTTCTGGTGCTCTTTCTGTCCTTTATGAGTTTCAACTTCTTCACAATTTAACTCATCTTCCAATTCATCCCAATTTCCCACAAAATCAAATGAATTAGTGATAAAATCCTCAAGTATAACCTCAACTCTCTTATTCACCAAAATAAGCTCAAAACAAGAGTACTAGCAAGTTTCTAAGTAAAAAAGGGTTCATTTATTATCAAAATTTAATCCCAAATAATAGTGAAATCAATCGTTGTCATTATGGCAATACATCTAACAAAACAATAACCAAACGTTCGTTATGAAATCAGAATGCACAAACTCCTTCAGAGTATATATCAATTTAAACTTCATCAGTTTTTAAACTTCATCATTCACAGTCACGTCAACCACCACTTTGCTCATGAAACCACAAAAGGGCTTCAAGAAACTGACGTTCCATGTCTGATGAGCAATGGAGAAAGGGAATGCCAAATTCGCGATTGGAGATGATAAATGTATGGATATTGGGTAATGGTAGACTTCGAAAACAATGGAGGTTGGGGTAGACCAAATTGCAATGGTGGTTGTGACAGAGGAAGGGGTTGTGACCCAAAGGGAGGAAGAGATTAGAAAGAAGAGAAGTAGGAAAGACTGGGACGTAGGGTTTTTGAGGGGAGAGAAAAATATTCTAGATGTGATTGAAAGTTATTTATCATTAGAAAAAAAAGTCATCATTCTTTTAAAATTAAACAACACATAAAATATTAGTTATAGTAGTTTAGGTATTGTGAGTAGTAGGGATGACAATACGACAACTAGATATTTGATTATCTCTTATTCGACATAAAAACTCATCTCCATCCATGGTTATTTAATTTTTATTGAGTAGTGGTACCATGACACAGTTTTACATTCATTTGACATGGTCATAAAAGTGTAAACTTTTGTATTTTTTCAAGAAAGAAAAAAGTAAAAAGTAAGAAAAGAATAATGTCAAATGAATATAAAAACTTTTGATCAAT